CCCACCACCGGCAGAGGGCAGGCTTGCTCTGATACCAAATTGTAACAGCCCAGCCCATGGTAGCATATTGTCCCGCTTGGGTGCCAAACCTGGCCCTGAACCCTCACGGTTTGTTTTTGGCCCAAGGGAAACCTCCGCTCTGCCAGCCAAAACGCGTTCTACCATGTTCAAGGTCTAGCCACCCTTTATGTATATTCCACCTTGTGCGTAGCCGATGTGGGATTCGCCTAAGGTGTTGTGCCCCAAACCTGGGATGTCACATACGCGAGCGCTTACAGGCCAAGGGCCAAGTACGCGAGCGCGTACTTTAAAGTCGCGAGCGCGAAAAGTGCCAAATGAGAGACAGAGAGTTTGCGAGCACAAGTCGCGAGAACGCACTTGAAAGTCGCGAGCGCGAGATGTGCCAAATGAGAGTCAGAGATTTTCAGGTGAAAGTCGCGAGCGCGCATTTGAAAGTCGCGAGCGCGAGAAGGCAACGCGAGCTCGTCATGCGATTCGCGCGCGCTTCGCGTTTTCCAGCCTCGCGTTTTTCCAGCTGCACAGTCTGTACTCTTTTGGTCATATCTCTCAATATAACAACCCGATTTGAATGATTCAAAAACCCATGTAAACTAACACATAGAGGAACAAAATAACTCTTCTATGCCACTTCCTATTCCATCCATTAAAGATGGGGTCAAAATCAAAGTATGAAATTACTGGTAAATTTTTCAGCAAAACTGTTCAACATAAACTCAATATTCACTTCATTTTTCAATACCTCCCCTGTTTTCTACCATGCTTTTCTCAACCATTACCAGTCCCTCCCACTCCAACATGAAAGCAATATTGTCTCATTGCAACACACCCACAGCAATTCTCATCAAAGAAAATGGAAAGGAAAAGAGATATCAAACCTGTTACTCCAAAAGCTTGAGCTCCTCTTTAAACTTCTTTTTTCTACACTCCTAGAACTCCTTCACCTATAAATAAGAATTCTTATGAATCCTAAATTAAATAACACCAAAATGATTCCAATATGACTAGTTAATATGAATGTTTTGTGTTATATTATTGACATACCAACATTATGGCTCATTGAGGTTAGGTAGAAACCATGTAGATAAGGCTATGTCGCGACATCAGGAATAGCAGATCTGCACCTCATACAAGTTTGATATCCGGCTTACAGCCGTTGAGTGAGATATTTATTATATATGGGCCATAGCACCAAGCATAACAGTATTCATCCAGTTTCATACAGTTTTTTTCTTATCACTTCGTTTTCACTATAACTTATGGAGCCATACAGATATCTTGACAATAACATTTCATGAATCATACAGTATTAAAACGTACAAAAGATAATCAAGGTATCCTGAAAGTATCATGATGTGTGTGCTTATATGTTGGCCATATGTGTTTACAATGGTTCCTTTCTTATATGTATGTGTTTTTAATTGTTTCTTTATCTGTTGAGAATATCCACTGAGCTTTCATTTGCTCAGCGAGTTACCTGTTTAACTCGCAAGGCTCTGAAGTCTTGGACATAGAGAGTCGGCTTACAACTGCTGCAGTTCATCTGTAGAAAGACTCAGTCTTCCAGGGTAGCTACTCATTTAATATGTATCTTTTTGGGTTCTATCTTTTTCAATGGCATGTCAGGGCAAATTAGCAGTTGGGGCCCATTTCATTTTGACACAGTATCATGTTTTGTAAATATAAATTACATTTAATTTTGTGTATACAACATCAGCACGTTATTATATTCAGATATACATTATGAACTTCGGCATGTCAGGCCATACAGTCAACCAGTTTGTAACCCGTATCGACTCGGTTTATTCGGGTTTATACGGGTGGCCGGGAAGGGATGGTTACAAATTTTGGTATCAGAGCCAAGCCTTGGTCCCTCTGGCCGTGGTGGGGCAAACCTCAGCGAGGACGCTGAGTCCCTGAGGGGGGGTGTATGTGAACATCCCAGGTTTTGGGGCACAAACACCTTAGGCGAATCCCACATCGGCTACGCACAAGGTGGAATCCTATACAATAAAGGGTGGCAACTTGAACATGGTAGACGCGTTTTTTTGGGCCTGGCAGAGCGGAGGTTTTCCTGGCTCAAAAAAAAACCGTGAGGGTTCAGGCCAGTTTGGCACCCAAAAGCGGACATATCTACCATGGGCTGGGCTGTTAACTCCTAGTATAAAAAATACGACATCGTCATTCCGACCGTGTGATGTGCCGCCTATTGTGTGAATATTATTATCTCAATAGTGGGCATTAAATTCAGATTTTGAGAATTATGTAAGTAATTAATAATTGAAAATAAGGTAAGATTGAGTGTTCTTTATATTTCTATATCGTTCTAATCTCGAAATTTATTTATAGTGATTGGTTTATTTAATTTTGAAAATATTACATGTGATTCCGTAACTTAGTTCAGTGAGTAGACTGTGGTCCACTAGTGTGTGGATCTCCTACTTTTTAAAAGTTAAAACAATGGATGTGTTTACTGTGTTTCTTATGTATTATTGTAGGATCGAGTGTTCTTTTAATTATTTTTTTATCGTTCTTTTTATTAATGAATAATCAAGAAATGAGATAGGTCACTATTTTTTTCAGAAAAACTTTTATTATTTATTTTTTTTTGATATAAAAGAAAAATTAATTTGCTCAAATCTACAAATGGGTTATTTGTTACTAATGTTTTTGATTTTCCTTCTAATTTCTAATTTGAAGAGAAAATTATCGGAATTCTTTTCCCTTGTATTCCTTTCTTATTTCCAAATAAAATAGTTTTTGCTTATTAATATTAATTTAGTTTTTTCCTCATATATGATATTATCTGAAAATATAATTTTTTTTCTCTTATAATCCGTACGAAGCGCAAAGTAATATTAAAATATGAAATAGTATTTTATAATACCATTCAAAAATAGTAAAAATAATAAAATGATAAATTATATCTTATTGAAATATGCTGAAAAGTTACGATGCTAAGATATGTCTTCTTAAGTATCATGCGAAACTTTTCATAAGGTATGTAATAGTAAAAACCATGTATGATATGACCCACATAAAAAAAGGCATACACACTATTAATATATTTTTCAATAGTGATAATAATTTTTAGAATTTAACTAATTATATTAAAATAAGAAATTAAGTATTTTTTTATTTTATGGTTATAAATTATTATAAATGATTGTTTATTTATTATAAAATATTAATGTATTACTTATTTAGTGTAGTGTGTCTTAAGCATATGGATGTCTTACTTTTTAAAAATTATCATATTCGTACGTTCCTGTATCTCGTGTTCCGTGTCTGTGCAATCTAGCTTCTGGTATATAAAACTACTCCTTACACTAAACTAATCAATCAAGATTTTTTTTTCTTATTACCAATAAAAATGAAGTGTTTTTTTTTTTTAATTTGCTTTTGTGTTATTGAATAAAAAATTAAGTATTTTTTATTTTATGGTTTATGAGACCAATAAAAAATCGGAAGTGTTTTATATATATATATATTTTATTTGCTTGTTTAATTTTGAATATAAAAATTAAGTATTTTTATTTCATTGAAATAAGAAATTTAGTGTTTTTTATTTTATATTTATTATAAATTATTGTTTATTTATTTGAAATATTAATGTATTACTTATTTAGTATAGTGTGTTTTAAGCGAGTAGATGTCCTACCTTTTTTTAAAAATTATCATATATCGTGTCCCGTGTCCTTACAACCTAGCTCCTGGTATATAAGACTACCCCATATATCAAGGCAATCATTAAAATAAGAAATTAACTATTTCTTATTTTAATTTAATTTAATGCATTACCTTGATGAGATGCAACTAATAGATATTATTATGATAAAGACATTATCTAAAAATATAAAACAACTTATCTTCTTACAATTGTTGTCATTTATTAATGTATTACTTATTTAGTGTATTATTTTCTAAGTGTGTGGATGTCCTACCTTTTTTAAAATAAAAAATAGTAAATGATTATTTATTTATTATTTATTATTTATTATAAATGATTGTTTATTTATTATCATATCTCATAAGTTTTTGTGTCCCGTGTCTGTGCAACCTAGTTTCTGGTATCTAAGACTGCCTCATACGTCAAGGTAATCATTAAAATAAGAAATTAAATATTTTTTATTTTATAGTTTGGATTATATTTTTAATTTAACTTTAATTTAAACTAATAATAGTAAAATAAAAATTAATTTTTTTATTTTTATTTATTATAAATGATTATTTATTTATTATCATATATCCCGTATGTTTCGTATCTTGTCTTCCGTATTCGTCTAACTTAACTCTTGGTATATAAGACAATCCTATACACCAAAATAATTATTAAAATAAGAAATTAAATAGTTCTTATTTTATGGTTTGGATTATTTGTAATTTAATTAAATTTTAATTGAATTTAATGCATTATTTTGATGAGATGTGTAACTAATTGATATTATCATGATAAAGACATTATTTAAAAATATAAAACAACTTATCTTCTTACAATTGCTGTCATTATACCTTATTTTCTTACAACCGTGTTAAATAATTGTTCTTCTCCTTGTATTTGGCAATTTCAGAAGCTTACACTTGGTTTTCATAAAATGTAAATTACTCTGCTCTTATATATATATATATATATAATGTCAATGTCGGTAATTTTATTTTGAAAGCTTTAGATTTAAAATTATTTAAAAACTAGCTATATACCTGTGGATTGAGTAGGTCTTCATTTTCTTAATATTTAAAAATATTAATCACAATATTTATTGGAAAATGAAAATGTTAATGCTGTTATTATTTTATTTACTAATTTAAAAATAAATATTATTTATATTAATTATTTATTATAAAAATTTAAACATTTCAAAATAACTGGCAGCTCCTTGGAACTTTAATTGCTTAGCTTGATCCTTGGGGACAATGATTTCAAAAGGGAGGGGGTAATTATTTGGATATAATGGTAATTAGTTAAAGAGTTGACTCATATATATATATAATAGGCTATTGAATAGATATCATTAAAATTTTTGAAAAATCAATAAATTCTGCTATTATTCTATTCTCCTCTCTCTTTCTCTCTATTTCATCTCTTCACAATCACTCTATTTAGGTTGTTTCCTAACATATTTTTCATGCCTACATATATAAATTTTCAATCAACTCTCATCTTGTTTTTACCAGTTTAGCAGCTTCATGAATAATATTTAGTCTAGTCTAAAAAACTCTTTCTCCTGTGCTAAACAAATTCCAAAAGATTGCTGTGATGAAATAAAGCCCTGCTGTGACAGTCAGAAATGCTTGAAAGGATCCCAGCCATTCAACAAAATAACCTGTTCCGATTGTGCTAATTATTGCTGCCAATGTACCTGCTGAATTTGCAATCCCTGCATTGAACAAGCAAAATTCACTTTATTTCATAACCTTGTTATCAATAAACTTCATTAGTCAAATTCACTTGACAACTTACCATGTAGGAATCCTGCATACTGAGGTGCTATATCCTGATCAAATAAAAGTTAAAAATTGATCAATTCGGATGTGGTCCGACAAATAAAATGCGAAGAAGTTAAATGATATTGTTCTCGTAGAATGGACGAACTTACTTGCATATTTAGAAGAAAGCCTGCTTGGCTAAAAGAACTCAAACTCAGGGCTGCTGTCATAAGTACAGCAGCAGCCATTGGTGTCTTGGCATAATTTAAGCAAAGCAATGACACCCCAGGTCCGATAAAACCAATAGACTGTTCATATATATAAGTAGTGATTGTCATAAAAAGGCCTGCCATTCCAAGAAAAATAAAAAATTAAATTCAGTACTAGTTACCTGCATGATCTTTCTGACTAATGTCAGCCTATACCCTGCCTTGATTAAGTAATCTGATACTATTCCTGCAATGTACCCAGAAACCGCCATTGTTCCCCACGGAATAGCACTAAACCAAGCTGCTTGCTTCAAATTCACATTGAATACCTATATCCAGAAAAACTCATCTAAATACAACAATGCCAAACAAACTCTTATCAATACTAAAACTTCCTAAACTACAGTCTCGTAAAAAAAATCGAGGAAACAGTAACTTACAGTCTTGAAATAGACAGGCATCCACGAGAGAAGAACAAAATACCCCTGTAAAATTCAGACGAACATAAGAAAGAGCATTAGATGCAAACTTATAGAAGCATCCGGAAGTGATCTTTAGGATTTCGAGACAAAGCATTACTAACCCAATTATTAGTTACGTTAGCAAAAATAATTGCCCAAGTTGGTAGTTTTGACAACAGAAGGCGAATAGGTGGAAGTTGTCCTTTGTTTGACAAAGAATCGGTTTTGCCAGCTTGGATTAACCGCAACTCTGATTTACTGATAAAAGGGCTATCTCTTGGATCGCTTGTAACACCATTTGCCCATGATGATAACCATAGTAGTCCAAGGGACGAGAAGAGAATAAAAGGACCAGAAATTCCAATGGTTGATAACATAATTGGAGTTAAAAGTAAGCCTATAACATTGCCTAGATGAAATCCAGCCATAGATAATCCAACTGCACTTGCTCGTTCATGACTTGGAAACCACCTGATCAAATATAAAGTTCAGGGCTTTTCCTCTTATATAAGTTCCATTCCATCAACAAATGTTAGCAGCATTTACTTGTGCATTACCTTGATAAGAGGGTGCTCATGGAAGGCAAGGCCACACCCTCTGCGAGTCCAAAGAAGGCACGAATAGCCAAGAGGCTGGCAGTGGAGTGGTTAGCAGCCCATGGAGTGAGAAGAGTAGCCAAAGACCATAGCCCTACACCCCATGCCATTACTCTTTTTCCTCCATATTTGTCTACCAAAGCTCCTCCTATTACTGATGAGAATATGTATCCCCACAGAAACGATGACTTCATTTCATATGATAATCAACAAAACAAAAAATTGTCAGTCACTTGAATTTGTAAATCACTAATTATATATAAAAATATACAATAAATTTAAAAATTTAAAATACTCAGATTTTAAATTTATAAATAACTCGAATCGAATATTATAATAATCGAATTCTGCTCAACTAATTATTGGAGATATTTGAGTTTTGGCTTAATTGGATTAATTAAAAACAAATATCAAACTTGATTTTACACTTGTAATCCTACCAGTTATATAGCTAATACCCATTTGATCTCTTTATGAAAAGAAATGAAAAACAATATTTATATACAATAAATTTGTTTTGTGCACTTAATCGTCACAGCTCTCCCTCCAATTAAATCGATAAATAAACAATTTATTACTTGCGTTTGCGATATTGGAGGACTAATCACTAAATAATTCATTATTTATTATTTTATGTTTTTGACGTGTGTAATTTTTCTGATATTGAAACAAAAGCAAAACAAAAAAAATAAATAAATAACTTTTTTCTAAAACACACTAACGGATTAGTTGTACGTAACAAATTTCAGGCACCGTACAGTAATTTTTCTTTGTACAAATAGCTTTATCATAAATATTATTATTTTAGATATAGAAAATTGTTACAATTATTTTTTAATAAAACTAGTTTTTGTGAACATGCATTGCACGTTGTTTGTACTCGTTATTTATATTTGTGTATTTCTACTCGTTGATTTTTACTCATTTCAAGTAGTAATTTAATTTTTATATATAAATTTTTTTTTAATTTATATATAAATTATTAATCGGTTATTTATATTTGTGTATTTCTACTCGTTTGATTTTACTTCATTTCAAGGTTTGTAATTTAATATATATTAAATTTTTTTTTAAAATTTATATATAAATATTAATTTTTGTTATAAAATTATATTAATATTATGGAATTAATTTAATAATTATTTTAAAAAATCCCGGAAAAATAAGAGTGCATTTACCGAAATAATTAATAATAAAAAATTTTTAAAATACTCTCCATAACTCACTTTAAAAATAGTTTATTAATTATGAAAACCAGACACGGAGTATAGCTCTAACATATTATTATTAAGTTGATTAGGTATAATTCTAGAAAAGGGTTACACTAATATTATAATAAACAATGATTATTAATTGAATGTTATTTGGTACTGACCCTTTGAGTATAAACTCTGATATTATGAATAATTTATATTATTAAAAATCAAAAGAGCATTTACGAAATAATAAAATAAAAAATTTTAAAAATTACATAACATTTTAAGAAAAGTTATAATTGAAAAAACAACACGATATATTATTAAAGTTGATATATAATTCTAAAAAAGTAAAATATATAATAAAAATGATTATTAATAATGTTATTGGTACTGACCCTTGTAAAATTATTTGTAGCTTCTAACATCGTATTTGTTCTGATTCGTTTGCTTTCTCCTGTTAGTACCCCAAACTTTAGAATCTATAGTATTGCTATATATAAATCTATGTTTGCGCCTATTTGTCTATTCGTGGAGTTCCTAATTAGAAAATTCGACTCTAATTTTGATGGTTGAATGTTGATTGTATATGTAAACTCTAGAAATTAGAACTGCACATTTACTTCATTTTTCATCTTATTTTTGTGGGGTTTCCTATTTCTGCTCTGAGAATATTGGGAATTTAGGGTTTTTCTTATGTAAATTGATATTTCTTACGTTAGTTTTTGCTTACAAAATAAATAAAAATATATATTTTTTCATTGTTGGGGATAAGGATTGAGAAATTCTTATTGAATGCAATCTTCTAAATTTATTCAATCCAATAAAAAGATACCTAATTGTAAATATAAACGAGTGATTAAGAAAAAATTTCATTTTTTTCAATCGGTGTGTTACTATGTTGAAATTTGTTTTTTCTGGTAGTTGTTATCCATGAAATAGTATTTTTAATTCAAACTTAATTATATTTGTTGAAAAAGAAAACTAAATTATCTTTTTGCTTTATGGTTTTGTTTTATATGGTTTGATTTGCAGCTCCTAGACTTACTACCGATGCTACTAATTGTTATTAGTTTAACATTGATAAAAGCTAATGTTAACATAATAATAATAATAATAATTATACAAAATATCATAATTTGAATAAGGTTATTTACAACATTTGTCTATGATATATTAAAATTAATTAAAAATCTAATACTATATATGAATAAAATAAACATATATCAAAGGATAATTATATTAAATTTAACTAATAAAATTAAACTACTTAATTATAGCTCCTAATTTAGATATTAATAAAAATAAAGCATTATCTTGTAAATTTAAATAGCATTATTCAGGAAATATACAATAATAATTCTTCTATAAGAAGTATGAGAGGAATATAATAGGAAGTACACGACATAGGTTTTAAACGAATCATTTAAATTCTTTTATAGAAACTTGTTTCGAAAATTTTTTTCACCTTTTCCAAAGACTAATTCTAATAAATAGATTAAAAAGAAAAAAAATAGATATTCTCTAAAAGAAAAAGTAGAGGATCCATTGAGGGTTAAAGGAATTATTGAAGGTTAAATTTTACTATGTTAATTTAAAATTTTAAAATCTAAAAATTAAGAAGTGAAATCTTAAACAATTTTGTTCATTGTAGTCTGAAATGTCATGTTTAGAAAATAATTTTATTCCATAAATTATTTAATTTTAATATTAAAATTTCTAATTGGATATAAATATTCTTGATTGATTTCCTTAATAAGTTTCTGTTTTATTTTTAGCCAATAATAATTATAAAATCATTAATAAAATTCTTAAAAGAATTAGTTTAGGATTTGGATTTAATATAATATTTTTTCAAGTAGGCTTTTTTTTCCAACGTGCACTAATATTCAAATAGGATTTTTATGTTCCAATTTTTTTCGTAATAACAACTTATTTTGTAACTAAAATATTTGTGTGAGATGGATTAGAAGGTGAGATAATATGGTTGTTCGTAGTCTTGTTAGAGCTTTCCATTCCGGTGCTCGCATTAAGGTTTGCACTTTAGTCCTTGATTGTTTAATGGCCTTCTATTCTTTTTAATAGTCTGCTTCCTTTCCAAATAATAATAATAATAATAATAATAATAATAATAATAATAAGTGCATGATTTCATTAACATTTGATTTGATGAAAATTTTAAAGCTTTTCTTCAGAATTTTAGTCGCATTAGAATGGAATTAAATTATCCATATCGATAATTTTAATCAACCAACAAAATATCGATAAAATTAAAAATTTATTAATTAAAATAGGATTAAATTATCTTTATTGCCAATAAAATATCAATAAAATTAAAAATTTTCTAATTACAATAAGATTAAATTATCCTTAATAATATTTTTAATCAATTAGAGTGCATAGGGGCATTTTATATATCCAATCTTCCCCGTTCGTACTTTTATATATACTAGTGTTTTTTGTAACGTGCGTTGCACGTTATTAGTATTTGATATTACTCGTTGCACGTTATATTTATTAATTTATTCTTGTATAGTATTAAGTATGATTATAATTTTTCTCTTATATTCTTTAGAGAATTATATAATATTAACGATTAATAATACTCATATTATAAGCGAATAATATTTTTCTTAAATTAAATTTAATATGAAGGACAACATTAAAAGTCAAGTACATTTAATAAAATAATTATAGACGATAAAATGAAAAAATTAATATTAGTTATAAGACTAGACTTCAATTTTTTTGAAAATGATAAGGTTAAACTTTAATTAATATCTTCTTTAAAAAAAACTAAATAATATGATCTTATGTTATTCAATGTTGATTTGAGTTCATGGAAAACTTAGATATAGATAAATAGATATATGAGTTCATTGGAAAACTTAGATTATAGATACAATAGATTTATAAATAAGAGGAAGTTTAAGGAATGTGGGTGGAATATCTATAGTATAATATATATATATATATATAGTAGTATACAATGGATACTGATATAAACGTGTGATTAATAAATATTTTTTATAGATGTTTTTATTTTTTGTTTTTTTACATTTTTAAAGCTTTGTATTTTGAAAGATTAAAAGTGAATAAATTGTTTTGAATATCGGTTTAAAATAATCCCATGGTTGAAACGTCAATTTAAAATAAAAATATATTAAAAATAATAATTAATTCCATTTAAAAATGAAAATTGATTGGAAAGCAATGATTATTTTTTAATTCTAATTAATAATATAAGGAATGAGTTAAAAAACCTCTAGGTGAATGGCTTCTCTCTCTTAAAAACTCAAGTGTATTTTTAGTATAAACATTAACAACTAGTGTATCCGAGATTACTTCTTTAATTATCTAGAAACTATATTAATAAAAAAATATTAAAAAATTATAATTTTTCAATTCTTAAAAACTCAAGTTATTTAATAAACTCAAACTATTATCAATTATCTAATTACTAAAGATATTTAGGATTTTTAAATTCTCCCTATGTTTTCACTTTTACTATGCTTATTATATACTCATTTTTTTATCTATATAATATTAAACATAAGTTTTGTTTAAATTAAAATAAATTCAAGTGGTTAATTTGTATTATATTTTGTCGTATAAAATACTTGCAAGTTGCAATGCTACTTCTTATATACTTAATTCTATTTTTATACAATGAAGTGGTCTTAGAATAAAGTTTAACCCACCAGACCTTTGACTTTTTTTTTTTCTTGTTTGTGTTATATATATTTACGTTTTGTTTTATGGAGAAAATAGGAATATAATAAATATATCATTTGACTAATCAAAACGCTAAGTCAATGAGTAATTTTGTAAATGCTAAAAATAGAAAAAAAACATAATTCCAATTGATTAGTATAATTTATCTTAGAAAAATATTAAGAGCAAATCAATTCTTAAAATTCGTTAAACTAGATGCTCTACTTTGTTTCGTGTGGGAAAACTACACATAATTGGTAATTCTTAAACAATACGTAACTCTAAATAATGATATTATCTCTAACTTTTACATAAAATTGTTTTTATAATAAAATAGTATTTATTAATTCATCATATTTTATATCAAACGAATACATGACAAATCACGTGTGATTCATTTAATATTTAAAATTATATAGAGCGAGATATTTCGGTTCAAATCTTTTTAATACAGCTATAAAATAATTCACAGTATCCCAATTAAAAAAAAAAACGATCCGAATCCAACACACTGTCAATATAAATATTATATTATATTATATTAAATAATTTACCGTATATAATATATTTGCAATTAATTACCTGAACGATGCCGAGAAAAGAACTGGACCAACCGTATTTTGCAGCAAGAGGAACCGCAGCGACAGACATAACCACGCGATCAGCATTACAAAGGCACATGACACACGCCGTTAGAGCCACCACTTTATACCTCTCCGATATAATGCTAACTTGACGACCTTCACCTCCCATTAGCATTCCTCTTTCAATACCCTCCGCCGTACACGCCACCAAAAATCCTCTGCTCTGTTTCATCTTTTTCTCGCCTCTGTTTTCCCATTTTATCGACTCTCTCAATATTCTAGGCTCAAATCTCAACTGGGTTTTTCTAATACTGATCAAATTTGATTGATAATTGAAGAAACGAGTAGAGTTTGGTGAAGAAGAATGTAGTAGAGATTTAGACGCCATGGGAGAGAAAAACAGAGCACGTCAGTCGCTTGCCTTAACAGACATTAATTGCGACAAACTGATAATGGTATATGAAGCTGGGACGTTACGAGTAATATCATTGGAAAAAGAAAAACAAAAGATTTATGTGGGTTCGTGAGACCTTTTTGAGCTTGACAACATGGGAAGCGCAGAGAAAAAGAAGAGAGATTGTTTGGTTTATTAAAGGAAAATAAAACCGATAGAGTAGTTGTTTTTGTGGTTGGTGAGATAGTGAGAAATCAGAAGAAATCAGAACTGAGAACGAGGGGGCTGAAGAATTGGTCTAAAGCAAACCACATAGGAAAAATAAAGGGTATTTTAACCACATAGGAAAAATAAAGGGTATTTTAGTAATTCAATCTATAAATTGTCGTTGCAGTCGTTGTTGAGTAGTCCGGAGTTAAAGATTCTTACGTGGCAAAACGTGTAGCCGCTAACTATGGTCACCTACCTCGCTCTAAGCTTTCGAGCCAACAAGGCAACTACCCCCTTTTGTTACCGATCACCGGGATAGCCAGTTGCCCTCATTTCGGGCACTGCTTGAGCTACAAAATAAAATTCAAAAATTTTTGTGTTTAATATAGTAATAATAAAAAAACTTAATTCTACACTTTCAATTTTAAAGATGAAAATATAATTTAAATTAAATTCTACTAAAAAAAGACTGAAATTTCTAAATAAATTTTCGAAACTTAACCGATCTAAAATCTTATAATAAAATTCTATGTTTTTTTGAGTCTTTTAAAATTATTATGCTAAAAAGTATTTTAAAAATATAAATAAATTAATTTTTTAAAAATTTATTTCAAATATAAAAAATTAATTTACAAATAAATGTTAGATTATTTAATAATCTATGTGTGGCCCGTGTGATTAAAAGACTGGTTCTAATTAATGTGACCTAAGATGATAGTTATTGGGTTTAATGGATAAGGACCAGTTAAATTTTAATACTCTTCCTCTGCCTTATAAAAGATTAAGGAAATCAACAGCGTAGGTTAAGAGAGTGTGACGGCTACCTCAAACATATACTGTGATAGGATAGGTTGTTTGAGAGAGCGTGAAAAGAAAAGTTCCGTGCTGTTGATAATTTTCTAATCATTAAGAGCACTTACGGACAAAAAGCCAAAGTGAAGAAACATAGATCTGCTGTTATGGATCAAAGTACCTTCCACTTATTGTGTATTTTTATTGAACAAATTTTATGAACTATAAGATATAAGTAATATTAAAATTATTTTTAACAGTAAATTCTATCTAAAATTAATTTATAAATAAATTTTATATTTTAAATTTATTTATACTAAACAAATAAAGTTGTAAGCATGAAATGTAAATGAGCTACACAAATTAGATGTTGTGGAGTCCCTCCAACATGTGGAACCCATACAAGTTTGAAGAAAAGAAAAAAAAAAAGTGGAAAGAAACTAGATGATTCTGCTAGTTATGGATCAAAGTACCTCCTCGGCCGAACTTTTGTTGTATTTTTATACTTTGAACAAATTTTTATGAACCTACTAAGATTAGTATAGTATATTAAAAATTAATTTTTAACATAGTAAATTCTATCTAAAATAAATTTATTAAATCTCATTTTATATTTATAAAATTTATTCTTATTACCTAAACAATAACAGTATAAATTTTATATTTTAAATTTATTTATACTAAACAAATAAAGTTGTAAGCATGAAATGTAAATGAGCTACACAAATTAGATGTTGTGGAGTCCCTCCAACATGTGGAACCCATACAAGTTTGAAGAAAAGAAAAAAAAAAACAAGCATGTTTATTTTGTTATTCAAAGGACGATGCCAAAGAAAGAAAGACAAAAAAGGAAAAAGTGGACGCGTGATTAACGCGTCCATCGTGTCTCCTTCTCCTATAAAAAGGAGAAGGTTTTCCTCATTAAGGCGTACAAAACATAGAAGTAATATACACAATTAGGTGTAGAAAATTTTAGGAAAAGAGTTCCTAAAATTGGGAAAAGAGAGAAAATAGTGAGGATTATAATTTTGGGGTGTTTTTGGAAAACACTTAGAGTGCCACTATTTTTAACTTTAGAGGTTGTGCCACTATTTTTGTAATCTCTTTTGTACCTACTCTATTTTTTTTGGAGTTAAGAAGGAATTATTCGGAGTTTTTGTCCCTGGACGGTAGCACCTATAACAGTTTCTGAGGGTGAACCACGCTAAATTTCTCGGCTGTTTCTTATTTTTTTTTTATTTGCAATTTACAGGATAATTTATTTAGATTTTTCCTGTGTGTTATTATTTCTTGGTGGATTTTTTTTTTATTCGTTCAATATCCAATATCGAAATTATTTGGAGGGGTACTAATGTGGGTAGTTAGTAATTTAATTTTACGTTTTACTTAATTTTACTTTTACCATCGATATTTTTCTGCAGGCCCCACTCGAGATAAGTTATAATCCTAACAATTGGTATCAGAGCCTTTGGTTGGTAAATTCTGTCAATTTTCTAAAAAGTTACTATTCATGTGAATAGTGAATTTTTTTGTCAGATACAGAATTTGACATGACTAACGACGGGGCAATGATCAAATTGATGGATTCGAATTATTTAATGTGGAAATCTAGAATGGAGGACTACCTCAATTGCAAAGATCTGTACGATCCAATTGAAGGTGATAGTGCAAAGCCAGAAGAAATGAAACAAAGGCAATAGTGCAAAGCCAGAAGAAATGAAACAAAGGCAGTGGGAGAAATTAAAAAAGCAGACATTGGGTACAATACGCCAATGGATATATGCTAGCCTGTACAACCATGTAAGAAATGAAAAAAACCCCCAAGTTCTCTGGAAGAAATTAGAGAATATGTACGAGGCTACGAATGCTCAAAGAAAAGTCTTCATGGTGCGTAAAGTCATGAACTTGAAGCTGTCAGAGGGATGATCAATTACACAACACCTAAATGATTTTGAAGGACTTGTAACTAAGTTAGCAGTTAGCGGTATGTCCTTAGAAGACGAGATGCAAGCATGCCTACTGAAGACGAGACTATGCAAGCATGCCCTACTGTTTGGGGATCTTCTACCGGATAGTTAGGATACTACTTATGGTTTGTCATTGGAGTAAACTTCAGCTCCAACATGGATCCGTATCAGATGTGGTAAAAATGCGTGGGTAACAATGTCTGGTTTAAAAGAATAGACTACTTAATGAAGAACTACGAAGAAGAGATGGCTTGCCAGTACAACAATGTCTATGGTAAAGAATAGACTACTTAATGAAGAACTACGAAGAAGAGATGTTGCCAGTACCAGTTCTCAAGCCCTTGTCATAGAGAATAGGGGTTGGAGTAAGAGTAGAGGTCCAAGGCATGTAAAGTCAGGTGGTAGATCCAAGTCCAGAGAGATGAGAAAATGTTGTCATTGCGGTAAGGAGGGTCATCTCAAAAGAAATTGTCATTTACTCAAACAGGATAATACAGACCGAAGACAGGAGAATGACAGAAAGACATCTGCTACAGTCTCAGGAGAAGATGGTGACGTGACTTTAGTCACTCATGATGCAGATTGCTGTCATGTTGGAGATGCAGATACCGAGTGGATAGTAGACTTCGGTGCTTCATACCACTGTGGTCCAAAAAGAGAATATTTTTCCACTTATAAAGCAAAAGATTTTGGCACTATCAGAATGGGAAATAACAGTGTCTCGCAAGTGGTGGGAATCGGTGATTGATATCTGCATAAAGACAAAGGGGTTTTTAGTTGTCAGGTGCACACTAACACTTTAAAAATGTGAGACATATTCCCGGTATCTTCGGCTGAACCTGTTGTCTGTGAGTGTAAAACTGGACAAAGAAGCTATCAACCAATACAGGTGGAACGATTTTAATTGGGAACCCTCACCCAAGGTGTCTATTTGGCATTCGGGTGACGATGAGGTGAAAATTAATGTTCGCCTCGCTGTAATTTAAAAAAAAAAGACGAACACGACAAAATAATATAGTGTGGGACAAAACTGAATACAGTGCAGATGTTTGCTCACCAAATTTGTGGCATAGGCGGTTTGGCGGCACATTAGTGGAGAAAGGGCTTTTTGAATTATGTTGGCCTAAGAATGTTCCCTCAATACCCATTAGCAAAAGGTTTTTATAAAATTAAAAACCCTTGTGATTATTTGTTAATTTTGGAAAGGCAACATCTTGTCTCATTATTTGAAAAGCTCTAGACGGAGATGAGAGAGAGAACCAACAATTTTTGGAGTTGGTTACATCTCTGACGTCATGTTGGGGGTCCCATGGAGGTAGATAGAATCACCTTGGAATAAGAAGTAGGTATTTTCTTACCTTCACTGATGATTTTCTCACGAATGGAAAACATGGATATATTTGTTGTGCACCAATAGACCCAAGTTTTCAAAGCACTTTCAGCCAATTCCATGCGATGGTGGAAAGGGGAGGACTAAAGTGGCATTGAAGTGTTTGCCGCACGGATTAAATTGGCGATGGTGCGAGAATATATCTCATAAGGGAGGTTTAGAGATTATTTGTAGGCAGGTCAGCAACAAAGCACCGATGTCGGTATCAGGCATGAAAAAAGGGACAGTTCCTTGTACACCTCAACACAACGGCGTTTTGCTTAATACGGAATGAATCGCACTTATTATTGAAAGAGTCAGATCCATGCCTTCAAAATGCCAACTTACCTAAGCCCATTTTGGGGGAGAAAGCTGTCAAATACTGCTTGTTCTTTGAAAGAGTCAGATCTATGCTCAAAATGGCCAACTTACCTAAGCCATTTTGGGGAGAAGCTGTCAATACTACTGTCTACCTAATCAACCGACTAACTTCAGCACCTTTGGATTTTGATATCCCGGATAAAGTCTGGACAGGTAGAAATATTTCATACTCTCACCTGAGGGTATTTGGCTGCAAGGCATTTATGCATGTTCTGAAAGAGCAGAGATCAAAGCTTGATGACAAGTCAGTTCCTTGCACTTTTGTTGGTTATGGAGACGAAGAGTTTGGCTATAGGTTGTGGGACCCAGTGAAAAAGAAAGTTGTCAAGGGCCGAGACGTAGTATTCCACGAGAATGAGATCGTGACAGATGCAACTTGTGAAGAATCCACAAGTGATGGTGTTGTCGATATTACACCAGGAAGCATTCCTACAGATGATGCTATAGGAGGAGAATGCCAGAATTAGAACGAGAAGAAGAAGAGCCAGTCGTAGGGGATCAAGAGACAATTGTAGATGATAACAGTGATGTAGAGGGTGTTGAGCAGGAAAGGCAGGGGAGCCAGAAGAACCCATTCACTACCAG